CCAGCCCAACCGGACAAATTACCCGATGACTGTCTCCACGATGCCCAAAACTGCACTTACTTCTCCTTCTTCAACTCTACTTCGAGTCATATTAATCTACTCTTGATGGTTTAGAAAGTTTCAGTAGGTTAATGGGCAGACTCGAAGTTTTTTTAGAACCCTTCGCCTACCTCGACCTACTAAACTATCAGCAGGAGATTAATATATTATAATTTTATACTTTTGCTTATATATTTATTTTTTTAAGTATTTAGCCACTAACATTAAAAAATGAAGTAAAGAGAGGATAAAAGAACCAATCGAAGTTCAAATTAAAATATCCTCCTTATATTTTTGTCATCAAGTTCTTTTAGTGGTGGGTGGTTCCTCGTCCATTTTAGTTATTTTCGTTGTCCTCACCTAAATCTTTGCGGTGTTTTTTAATGGCCTCATGGATTTCATTCCACCCTCCTTTTTGGGGAGGTTTTTGCTTATTAAATTGCTGGTGCGGTGGTTTTTTTATTCCGACTGTTCCGTCTTTTGTTGGTGGAGGTGGTGGGGTTGGTATCCCTCCTTGAATTGGTGTATGTCCGTTTTTTTCACAGTTTATAGCATTTTTCAAAATAATGTCAGTATATTCTAAAATTCTTTTTGTTTCTCAGTTAGAAAATTACTATGGAACTACGGATTACTGCGGTAGTCACATGATTTATTTTTATTGTTTCACAATCACTTCTTTACTACCGCTTTCTGTAAGTATGACACAATTTCCGCAGTAGATTAAACAATTAAAAGCCTGTGAAGATGAAACTATTAATTTTACCGAAAGCGGTAAAGAAAAATGGGCTAATTTCTTGGTAAAATCATACGATACGGCGATAAATCTTTAAATAGAAAAGATAACAAAAAATCTTTCAGTGAAACAAAGCGGTAGCGGTTAAATTAGGTCATAAGGGGTCTTGGTGTTTCGGATTTTCGGAGATAAGCCTTAATTTGGCTGGGCTAAAAAGATTGGTATAAATGATTTTCATTGATAAACCTTTTATAGATATCGGTTAAATTGATAAAAGACTGGCACAGCAGATAGGCAAAATTGATAAGCCAAATGGGATAATTTAACCGCTTTCTTTGTTTATAGGTGTAATCTTGGCATTTTAAGAGTTCTTTTTTTAGATTGGCAAAATGGTGTGATTGAGTTCGTAATCTTTTTTTTCCTTTCCATAGAAACTGCTAGAACTTTTTAGAAAGAAACCGCAGCAAAAGGAATGGTTATAAAAAGAGTGGGTTTTGAAGTTGTCTGTTCCTTACCTTTAAGGTCTAAAAATAAGTTTTTTTATAAGTTTTTCTCTACGATAAATAAAGTGGGTCTAACTTGTCTTTTTTTAAAACTAAACTTTCTTTATTTTTTACTAATAAATTTTGCCTTTTTTAGCCTTTTTTATTTAGGTTTAATCCCCATCTTATCTTCTTTCTCTCGCGTTTTTTAACAGCAACATGGGAAACGGACAGTCAAATTTAAGTGATAAAGAAAAGACGGCAGCGATTATAGGAGGAGCCGTGGTAGGAGGAATAATAATTGGAGTAACTGCTGGTTTAGCAACACCGCTTGTTGCAGCAGCGGGCAAGGCTGGCATCGACTATGTTAGTAATAGTGGAGAAAGTAGTTCCAACTCTCCTGCCCCTATGCAAACAAGGATGAACACATCATCGGGAATTAAGTCGCCTGGTGTTCCAACAGCAACCGATGGTTTTGTAGCACCAAGAAATTGGAACGGAGAGATGGTAAAAAGTCCTAATGGGTTTGGTCGGGGATATAAAGATGTAAAAGGAAATGTTTGGGTTCCTAGTGGCAATTTTGGACACGGCGGAGCTAATTGGGAAGTTCAACGTCCTAATGGAGACCATTATCATGTTTATCCAGGAGGAAGAACAAGGCACCATTAGATATTGTAAGGTTAGTTAGTCTTCATTTTTTTTAATCGGACAATGAGCAAAATAATTGTCTTTAATAAATCTACCATCCGAAGTTGGTATCACAGCTTCTTCCCATATTTTAGTAGGATAATATTGTTTCTTCTTTTTCATTACTTTATCTCAATCCGTATCATAAAACAATGTCCCATGAATGCCATTTACTAATTTTTTATCTATTCTATTTTTTCACATCTCTGCGAAAATTTTATCCCATCTCTTTCGTTCTTCCTTGCTCTCTGTCTTTTTTATTCGGTTTCAAAAATCATCAATGAATTCAATATCCTGTCCATTGGGAAAAATCAAATCAAAATATTCCTCCTCGATACTATAAATGGGATAATGACAATTAGTGGCTCCATCAATTACCTGGATATTTTTAGTCTTTTTTTTATTCATTATTCATTTTTATAAAGTTTTTTTATCTTTTGCTTAACAAGTTTTTTTTGTTCTTTTCATATTGAGTTTTTCTGCGGTTAGGCAGTTTTTACCTCTTTTTTTCTTGTTAAGTTTTTTTAAATTTTGTATTTTTTAGTTAACAATTTTCTTTCTTTTTATGTCTTTTTTAAGTTTTTTGTCGCAATAGTTATGTTTAATAAAATTTAAGTTTTTAAAAAATTATGTCTATATAATGAGTATGAATGAACCACCAATAAAGGCTTGAATTTTTGAGGAAATGTATAAGGTTAATTGTCCGCAATGTCAAAGTCCCTTAAAAACTCGTTGAATTTCTGATGAGGAGCGAAATAAATTAACTTTTAATGTTTCTGACCCTCGTTTTTGACCTGA